TTGATATTAAAATTTTAGAATTAAGTAACCCCAATAACATCTTTTGTAGCCCCAGGTTTCACTTAATAAGTTGAGGGGAGCTGTGGCCTAGTGGTTAAGGTGTCTGCCTCTCAACCCAGAGATCATGGGTTCGAGCCCTACTCGGGTCACGACCATGTTTCTTCATATGACACCAGTACTGGTTGGTTCCAGGAAGCAGACTCGAAAGTGATTAATATAAGTTGCAAGAACTTGTTTTACAATTGAGCTTACAATTGTAAATAAATATGTTTAAAACTAAGTGTTATAATGTCTCTTAGGGCCCGTCTACATCTATCCAAGTCTTGAAGTTGAATGCAAGTATCATATTCTCTTGTATTGGATAGTGTAGACACCCTACTTGAATGAGTTTTAAAGAGAAAATATGTGACATCCAACAAGATAATTCCTTGCAAGAAAGTTAGAACACGTTCTATTTTTAGCTCACCTGTCACAAAGTGACAGGGTGAGCTTTTGTGATCGCTTTTCGTCCGGCGTCCGTCCGGCGTCCGTCCGTCCGTCGTCCGTCCGTAAACTTTTGCTTTAAATGACATCTCCTCATAAACCACTGAGCCAATTTCATGCAAACTTCACAGGAATGTTCCTTTGGTGGTCACCTTTAAAAATTGTTCAAAGAATTTAATTCCATGCAGAACTCTGGTTGCCATGGCAACCGAAAGAAAAATCTTTAAATATCTTCTTTTAAACAACCCTAAGAGCTAGAGCTTAGATATTTGGCATGAAACATCTTCTAATGAGTGTCTACCAAGTTTGTTCAAATTAAAGCCCTGGGGTCAAAATTGGCCCCGCCCCAGGGGTCATTGATTTCCCTATATGCATATAGTAAAAACTTAAAAAATCTTCTTTTAAATAACTGTTAAGAGCTAGAGACTTAGATATTTTGGCTACTGAAACTTCTTGCTAGTGAATGTCTACCAAGTTTGTTCAAATAAAAGCCCTGGGGTCAAAATTGGCCCCGCCCAGGGGGCCATTGATTTTCCCCTTTATGCATATAGTAAAACTTAAAAAAATCTTCTTTTAAAAGAACCGCAAAGAGCTAGAGCTAAGATATTTAGCATGAAACATCGTCTTCTAATGAGTGGTCCTACCAAGTTTTGTTCAAATTATAAGGCCCTGGGTCATAAATTTGGCCCCGCCCCGGGGGGTCAATTGTAGGTTTCTCCCTATATGCATATAGTACCAAAACTTCAAGAGAAATTTCTTTCTTAATTAATAGTGGAAAACTAAGTAAAGAGCTAGAGCTTAGATATTGAGCATGAAAACATTTTATTAGATGAATAGTCTCCTATTGGCGTCCAAAGGTTATGCTATCTATAATCCAAAAGACTCACTAACATTATGTTGGCCGAGTTCCCAAAATTCGAGCACTCAGTCTCTCAAGGGGGATCGTACATCTTGATTTTCCTCTATATGCATAAACGTTAAGACTACCGTATATACAGTTTCTTTCTTTTAATATAAAAGGATAACTTACTATATTTTTAATATTGTTACCACAAGTTTAGAGCTTAAACTGAATAATGCCCACTCTAATAGGGAGATAAAATTTTCAAATGGACCCTGGCCGGGGCGGGGCCCAGTGAAACATCTTTAGTAATTTTGACGAGTGTCTACTAGCTCCGCGCTGTATGGAAAACGCGCCCCATAGCACGGTGGGTGAAAGATGGGCATGCCTAAGTAAACTACGGGAGTTTAGAACTCCGATGAAACCCGTGGAACAGCTGGTCCACGGGCTTAAATGTTGTTTAGTTTCAATGAAACTCCTTTGTACTATGTATAGTGAGGACTTGATTAAAAAGCCCCGACGGAATATAAGACTGCAGGGTAAAATCTGGACCCTGGCATTAGGAAGATTGTCCCTGTTGGGTGGGCGATTCCTATTGAGAATTTTTTCCCTGATATGTCATTAAGAGGAGTAAAAAATTTAAATAAATCTATCTTTTTAATGATAAACCGTGCGTTAAGGAGCCTAGTTCAGCTTTAGTGAGTAGGTTTGTGCCATGTTAATAACATCATCTGAATGGAAATTGTCTACAAGTTTGGTTAATAAGAGTAATAGCCGCGTGTGGACGTTCAAATATTTGGCCCTGCGAGCCAACCAGGGGGTCAAATTGATTGACCCATTATATGACCTCGCCACTGTGAGGAGTAGAGCAGGAACGTTGAGACACAATATCTTTTTTTCATCCTCCATAGAGAGATATCGCTCATTTGAGAAACGGCAAAAGAACTGTCGGAGAGTTAGCATAACTTTAGCATCGCCAAAACTCATGACTTCATAGACAGGGTGATCTACTCCAAGTATATGGTTCTACAATATTATAAAGCCCGGGGGTCAAAAGCTCTCTGCCCCGCTCCCAGTGGTATGTCATTGATTATACCATTCTGAGATTAATGGATGTTTTAATTATTTAAAAACTTTAAAAAACTCTCTATGATTATAACAACAAATAGCAGAGTTGGAAGATTAGATATTCAAATATGGCACATGAAACATCTTCGTGGGAAGGCCCAAAATCTTATGTAAAACCGTTGCGATTCAAATAAAAGCCCGGGGTCAAAACTGGCTCTGCACCAGGGGTGTCATTGTTTTTAACTATATGTGTATTATAAGTAAAGACCTTAAAAAATCTTCTTTTAAAAACCCAATGAGCTAGAGCTTACATGTTTAGCATGAAACACTCTTCTTATGGGTGTCTACCAAGTCTGTTCAAATAAACAAATAAAAGCCCTTGGGTAAAAAATTGGCCGGGGGGTGGGGGGGGGGCTATAAACAGGTGAGCGACCTCAGGGCCATCAATGCCCTCTTGTTCTACAAGTTTTTGGCTGTCAAGACACTGATAACACCGGTTTGACACAAACATGTGCCCGAAGGTTTGATAGTGCTGTTATTTTTATTATTTTCTGACTTTTTGTTGTTGATTCAGTGTACATGTCCTTTGAATTTCAATGATTCCAATGTCTTGGTCAAAGGAACAAATCAATACGCTGATACACAGACAGAGCAAAAAAAAAAAAAAATACATTGTAAAGAAATGAAAAAGAGCTCTTCTCAGTAGAGTCACAATGGATTTAAAATGATCTTGTTCATTTTTTTAAATAACTTTCATCGAATAAAGAATTTGCATCAAAATAAATTTTTGTCACATTTTTTCAATTTTAAAGAAAGAATGAACGCATTTCATTACTCCATTCTGTTTTAGCTAATTGCATCATTTTCCCGCTTTTTATCACATATTTTATACAGAAACCATGATAGTACTTGCAAAGACAAAGGTATAAATCCTGGGCTATCTTAATGAGACATTTCAGTAAAAATTGTGCCTGAAAAAAATGTTGAAAGGGCCATTTATTTAGCTTATCTAAATGTGACATGTAAGAAACTTGAATAGGTGTAGACACGGCCTTACTATGAAGTTAAAATGTTAGAAATTTTCAGGTTTTACCATCAGTTACAATGTTTCAAATAGCAGTTTTTACCCCAAGTTTCAAGTAGTTGTGGGAACACAGCTTTTGATGTTTCTGTGAATATTGTGTGAAACTTCTGGCTTGACCTTAAACTTCAGTAGGCTCACATTTCTATGAAAGAATTTCATGTAAATGGTTTTGATTAAGGGTTTTCAGATCATGCATTATGTTACTGAAATCTGAACAAGCAGTTACTGAAGAAAGTCAGTGAAACCATTCTTTCACCCATGTTCCCTGCTGATTTGTTTGATGGACTTTGCTTTGAATTTGGAAGAGTCCAATTGGAGTTTAAGGGAATATCAAAATTGGAACTTTAGCAACAAGTGTATGTGACTTTGACAAAGTGGATATGTTTTGAAAAATAGCTGTGATTAAGATTGGTCTTTTCTTTCTTGGTAAAATAACTATGCTTTTTAATTTTGAATGGATTTTCTTTGAAATTAAATAGAAAGTTCCTGCCTCAATTTTGTGTGAAATATTTCTATTTTGATATTTACAGTCTTTTAGCATCTTATTCAGTCTATGAATTTCTTTTAAAATGTGCTTACATTAATCCATAATTAATAATGGACCGAATCAGTTGGAAAATCAGAGCACAAAGTCTATGACAGTATAGGGTATTGAATATCTTGTGTTTTATAAATTTTATTTGAAGAAAAGCTCTTCAATTGGGTTACTTTTAGAATTTTCCATGCACTTTGCCCTATGATACTTATTTGACTTGACTATTGTTATTGTAAGCACTTTCAAGGGTTAATGTCAGAGACAAAGTGCCTGATATTAAATTGTGATGTAAACAGTATTTTTTGTGTGCACTGCAGTCAGCTGAAACTTTCATTGTTACTTTGTAATTATTCAGGAAATGAACAATTTAGTTTAACCTTAGTGGTAACTAAAAGTATTCAAGTTTTTTTAATGTATATATAATGATCTTGCACTTACTAAAATATATTGTGGATTATATTCTGGTTGTATTAAAGAGGGCCATTTTGGTGTGAAGTGTATTATTTTGAATGCAATTTAAATACATGTACCACTAGTAGTTCAGGGCAAACCTATGCCTCTAGCCAGGCTTTTAGGCATCAACTCATGTCTGAGACTGACTCTAGATGGATTTAAGTTAGGAGGTTTGATCCTCAAACTCTTGATATTAACATGAATCATACTTTTGACTATTTGAACTGACCATTAGTAAATAGATCAAGGCTTTACTTAAAAATATAATAAGTAAATGTTTGGCTCTAATTTATAGGTTTTTGTCTAATTAATCTTAGAAAGTAGAGGTTTAATTTTAATGTAACCGATTTATTCTGAACAATCACGTTTACATTCTCCAGGCTATTTGGTGGTCACATAAATATTTCTAACACCTACATCCTCAATTTACCTAGTGTACAGATGTAAACAAGCTACATTTTTCCTAAACTGGCCATCTATTATCAGGTCATGTGTTGAGCGTAATTAAAGTTTTGCACTATTTATGTGTTTTGCAGGTATTACTGTTTGCAGCGTGTAGAGATTCGCACCATGTCTGACCGTTGTCCAAGATGCTCGAAAGCGGTCTACTTTGCTGAGCAACAACTAGCACTTGGCAAGAAGTACCACAAATTATGTTTGAAATGTGGTAAGTTTATTAAGTTTATTTATTATTGTTTAGATTGGAGAGAAGTTGTATATTTAAATAATAATTGCAGTTAAGGTCATAATTACATGGAGACTTATAAAGCTTTGAGGATCGAGGCACCAAGATCTCCTAAATTCTTATGCTGCCAAGTAGTGGGGGACAAATAGATTTGCCCTTGTTTGTTCCACTGTCACTGCTGTCACCTTGGTGGAATCATTGATCATCTGTGACCTCTTAAGTGGCTTCTTAAAACAAGTTCAGTGAACCATGCAGGATTCAAACCCTAGCTGTAATTGGCAAGTTTTCAGTCACCATTGGCCAAAGATTATTTTGATAAAGATCTGAAAAAAATACTTTGATCAAATCAAGAATAAGATATGTATTTGTTTGTGCAAAATAAAATGAAATTCTTTTTAAACAATTAAGTATGTTGGCCAAAGGATTTACATGATCTAATAAGTAAAGGAATGATTATATTACTTTGTAAAACTGTATCACAATAAATTCCTGTGCATATTTAAAGTCCTCTGATAGGTTTTAAACCTAATATTTCATTTTCTTCTGTGAAAAAAAAGCAACACAAATAGCAGTAAGAAGAAAATAAGATGCATAATTTCATAAAAACATTTTAGTTTTGACCTATTAATTACTAAAAAAAAGAGGGGAAAGAATGCACAAAAACCATAAACTTCTCGTGTTCACACTGTTGTACAGTTGCAGATACAGGGCAGGAAATCTTTTTTTTTATACCTTTGCTCTCACTTGAAGTTTTAAGTAGTTTCTCAAGTTGTTTATATTGGTACACCTATCAAGTTCAAATTATACATTCCAATAATTGGCTGTTAAATGGCATTAAATTGCATGTTGATTAGATAGTAGAGATGAAATAAAATATTCATCAGATTCTACTTGATATGTATCTATTAGTGTATTATAGAGTGCAGTGAAATACCTGCGGTTATCCTGTTAATTAATGGGTGAAAAATTTGTATAAGGGCTTGGTGTTGAATATACCAGGTATATCTGATTGGGTAATTCCTTCTTGGGATAGCTGCCCCAGGATATTGTACACCACATCTTTCAACTACTATTGAATTTTAAATAAAGTAATGGTTATTATGTTAAAATGAGCCATGTCACGACAAAACCTACATAATGGGTTTGCGACCAGCATGGATCCAGACCAGCCTGCGCATCCACGCAGTCTGATCAGGATCCATGCTGTTCGCTTACAAACCCTATAACAAGTACAGAAACTGATAGCGAACAGCATGGATCTTGATCGGACTGCGCGGATGCGCAGACTGGTCTGGATCCATGCTGGGCGCAAACCAATTATGTTAGTTTTGTAATGACGCGGCTCAAATTGTTTTTAATTTTATCAAGGGTGACTGTCCTATAAGCAGTGTTGTAGTAAAATTTGTAGGAATGTGGGAGCAACAATTTCGAAAGTTTTACAGCTATTAAGAACTGCTTAGTCACTGTGGTGCATGCATATTTAGCAATAATATTCAAGGACCATGAAACTTGTCTGATTTATGGCTCTTTCTGAAAACTTGAAAAATTCCTGGTAAAAGTGTTGGCATGCATTTGAAACTTTTGAAAAGTTTATTGCGTCGCAAGTTATAATTGAAGGTTATACTGGCCAAGACCCAAATCTTTATCATGGATATTGTTTATGAACTTAAAAAATTTCTGTCGTCCAAGATTCATAAGATTCATAACTATGTCACGTATTTTGGATTAGATTTTCCTCTTTGTTATTTTACTATCAAACAATGAGAATAATAGTGTGCTGTCCTACTACTTACAGTTTTTGTGACATTGAATGTTTTTTAAATGTGGCTTTGTGGTTTTACCCAGTTTAAGTATTCAAGTTGGTTCCTTCAAACTCAGCGTTGCTATGGGTAGATGTTTTTGTGATGCACTTTGGTTACAGACAATATGTTATTACCTTAGTCCTTTCTACAGGTGATTCAATTATGCATATATGTGGGGAAGTTGGCAGTGACTTGTGAAAAAACTGCATAATTATTATGGATACTATTAAAGATGGTGATAAACTAAATGTCAAACATGTAGAAGGGAAATCATGATTTTATGAGTTCATTGTAAGCTGAAAGGTCAAATTGGTGACATTGACATTGTCTCGAAAATGGACCAACACTGAATAATGTATTTTTGTTGTTGATTGGTATAACTGATTTATAAGAGGTGATTTGTTATTTAAATGATACAACCTGTCACAATACAGTTTAATTACCGTGTTCATATTTCTTACGGTATCTATTCTCGCTTTGAATTAAACAAGGCAGTTAAATAAACTTAAATATTCAGATTATCTTGATTTTCATATTTTGTATGTGCAAATATTTTCATTTTATCTGAATTTTTATCTTGTATTGACCGTGTATGTTGTTAAGTTACCTATTTCTCATAAATGAATTTCATTGTAATCTTTTTGTTTGTAATTCAATATTCTATCACATGTGTTTGTCACAAGTTAGTTTTTTCCCCTATCATTAACAGTCTATAATTATATCATATGTCAATGCTTGCTTCCAGTGCCTTTAAATGTCCCTATTTGTTTAGCCATTACACTTTTTACCCTATCTTATATCTTGTTGTTTTATCTGCTGATCATGTTGCTTTGACCAATGTATCATGTTGTTTTACCTATCATCATATCATGTTGTTTTACCTATCATCATATCATGTTGTTTTCATCATATCATGTTGTTTTCAGCTAAATGTAACAAGTTATTAGACAGTTATTCATGTACAAACCATGAGGATGAGATATTTTGTAAGGCATGCTATGGGAAGATGTTCGGACCAAAAGGTTATGGGTTTGCTGGAGGGGCTGGAGGGTTATCCATGGACACAGGCAAACCATATGAGGTGACAAGAGGGTAAGTGATATGTATTATTTATGTGTAAATGTAATATGAACTAATGCTTTGATTTTCAATGAAAGGGCTTCTGTAGCTGAGTGGTTAAGGTCATTGACTTCAAACCATTCACTCCTCACTGCTCTGTGTAGGAATCTTTTTAGGGACTTAAGCTAATTTAGGAAACATTGGTAGTTGTACACAGGTACCTGTTCGTGCCTGAAATAATGCACGGAGATATTCTTTATTTTGTCCACTCTGTAAAATTTAGTGGTGGGGTTTTGTCCACACTATAAAATTTAGTGGTGGGGTTTTGTCCACTCTATAAAATTTTGAGTGGTGGGGTTTTAACTGGTGGGGTTTTGTTCTACATTCTCTTTATTTAGGAAGCTACCAGGCATCATAGAACTTGATAAAAGTTTTAAGAAATCATTGATATTATCATTTACAATATGTTACACTAGAAATTACTTTATTTTCACATCAACAAGCTGTTGACAATTTTATTATTGTATTTTAAAGCGTGTGCTTTTTACTTTTATATACATATTTTCCAGAATGAAATGAGTACCCATATATTATTACTAGAGTATACAGTATATATCAGCTTATACACTTAACAAAATGCCTTGGACATTATTTGTAGCATTAAGAGATGCAAATTTATCATTTTCTCCTGGACTGACCTATTTTCCTGCATCCTATTGCACACTTTTTGAAATATTCACATGTCTTAACTTTTAACTAGTCAGCATCTGGTTCTCAGATTTATAGATAACTAAAGAATGTGTGTTAATTTCTAAACGCCACAAACATTTATTTTAAAAAAAGTTGTGATATATTAAGGTTTACTATATAAATGACAAGGCTAATAAATCTTCATGAATTATTTTGTGTAGTCTTGTTAAGCAATTAAGTTACAGACTAACTTGCACATAAGAGACTTGTTTTTGTACAATATATTTTTCAATGTTTTGAGAGGTTGGCTTATGATCAAGGCGTTTAAAAAAGATAAAGCTACCACTGAGATATGATGGGCGTTACTCATCATTGTCAACAATACATTTTATTGTAAATTCTAGTAAATTTATGTATTGAAGTTTTGATTCCATCAATGAATAAAGTGGCTATATATAAATAGAAATATACAATGGGAGCACTTGGTGAAATTTATTGTTATATTTCCTCATTAAAATATGCATGCTTTTAAAGCTAAAAAAGAAGATTGTGATTATTAAGGTTATTTTTCTCTATGGGATATTTTCTATCTTAATGCTTGATTTATTATAAATACAAAAGGTATTGCCATTGATGAGAAAGTCAAAGATTGTTTGTTGTCAGCTTTGTTATACAGTCAGTTAATTAGATTGATTATTAAGATACTCATTTTACTTGAAATGTTGATAAATAATTTCTTTCTAAGTAGACTATAAGAGATAAGTTTTTCATTAAACATTGGGTAATAGCTACATTGACTTGGTCATAGTTTCATTGACTTGGTAATAGCTACATTGACTAGTCTTTAACATAGCTCATTGGCTTGTTAATAGCAAATAATTGCAACTGGGTAATAGTTGGGTATATTGACAATTGGCAAAAAGCTACAATAATTTACTTGGTTATAGCTTTATATATATACATTTGTATATCCATTCAGCTCAACAACGTTTATGGTTTGGTATTTGCCTGAAAATTTTTAAGTTGTCACACACTATTGAATGTTATTATTTTGTGATATAAAAATTTATCAATATAACATAAAACCAACACGAAAAGTATTCTCTTAGTGATCAATATTAAACAAATGGAGGCATGATTGTGGGGAAGCATTTGTTGAGGGGCTAAAATGTCTACTATCATGGGTTCAAGCCAAAACCACTTTTCTTTATACGACAGCAGTATGGGATAGTTCCAGGAAATTAGGACTCTGGAGTGATCTAGATAAGCTCTAAGCCTCTAATCTTTCTTAAGTAGTTAATGTTTCAACAAAATTTAAAGGAAAGCACCAATAAGATAAAACTAAGCACACAACCACCTGTGTTCTGTTGTCTATATTTCTGTAATGTCCATTAGCTTAATTGACAGGCAGCAACAAAAAAATATAGACAAAAACAGGACACTGTATTATTGATATTGTGAATGTCCTAGTGTAGCAAGGTTTCATCACGTCTAGACTCAATGGCTTTAATGTAATTACATTTAATTGGTACAGTGGTTTGTCTTGTGTAAGATAGTGCATATGTATAAACAACCAAGATATTGTGTGATAGTAAGCCAACTTTATGGTTACATCAAAGGACAGTTTTTGTGTGCTCTAGTTTTGAAGTGAGCTTATTTTATCATATTTAAAGTGGATTGGTTCTACAATTGGCCCATTTTCCATAAGTATTTAAAATATTGATAAAAAACAAAAGAAAATGACATTTGAATGTTGATATAATATTTCTTTAAGACATTGTTGAAAGAGTTCTAAGTGAGCTTATTTTTGTGGTATATAAAGTGGTTTGGTACTACAGTTGGTCCATTTTTCATAAGTATTTCAAATGTTAAGGTTAAAAAAGAAAACAAATCCAATTTGTAATTTGAATTTTGGTATATAATATTTCTTAAAAAAAAAAAGTTTTCTAAGTGATTTATATTAGTGATTTAAATTATATTTAATGAATATTTTTATGTGATGAATAATAACATTTTGTTCTAGAACAATTTACTATCTGCTAAATAAAGATAGGTTATACAGGATATAGTATCTCAACAATATCCATATATAATTCTTTTGTGGTTTGTTGATACTAAATATCATCAGCATAATTATCTATTCTACAGACCTTCCATTATTATCTGTTCGATTAGAGACTTCCCATTATGGATCAATTCACTTTAACATTGTCATACATGTACTTTAGGAAATTAGTTTACACCAAACATTTTCTATTTTCAAAGTATTTTTTATTACTAATGGAAAATAAATTTACTATTAAACTAATTTAAATCTTAAATCAGTTATTAATCCAAATGTTATGTTATTCAGTTTCTGACATTGCTTAAGCAAAAATAAAAAAAGTTAATATCTGCAACATTTCAAAATCAATATTTTTCTTGTATACGATGATTATGCCTATATCATTTTAAATATTTCAAAGTTTATTTTTCATATAAAGTTATGAAAATATGGTTTTTCTTCAAAAGGTGTGCATCTGTAATAACTTTAATGTAAGGTTATAAGTAAAGATATTATTGTTTTATTCTTATACATACAGGAATGTATCAAGCTACCAACTAGCACAAGCTGCCCCTACACTAGAGAGAAATGGAGGTGGGGGTAAATGGGGAGGGGGCGATGCTTGCCCCAGGTGTTGCAAACAGGTGTATTTTGCGGAGGAGGTGAGAGCTGTTGGCAAGAAATGGCATAAAATGTGTTTGTCTTGTGGTGAGATATTTGCTTATTTAATAACAGTAATATTTCTGTGATATCAGTTATAATATAAAAGCAAGGGGTTATCTTTAAGCTTAGTTTTAATGTCATCAAATCAATAGATTGAAGGTGCATGTGTATATAATTCTGTTTGTCTGTTGGCAGGATATAACTTCATTCTTAATCATTATGTCTTCATTCTATAAGATAGAGCCTTCGTAAATTGGTACAACATACCCATATCTAGAAATACAACCTGACCCCAATTGGACAAAATTTCCAAAATGCTTACATGACTAGTTTGGGGACACTGTGTATATATGAATATATATGAATGCACTTGTTTCAATTTTGATAAAATTACTCTATATAGTTGATATTTATAATATAAAAAACGTATAAAAAGGGTAATTTACATTGAAAAAATATTTTTAAATCAAAAATGCTTCAGAAATTTGCTATCAAATGACTAATTGCAGCTGTATACGTTGTATATTGTATTTTACTTATCATTTATATGGTGGCTTATATTTGCTGCTTTGGCTTTTGTCTGTAATTGTTGTTGGCATGTTAGCCATTCTCTTTTCTTATGAATTTATTGTAATTTTGTGTTTTAAATTAATAAATGTTATATACTGATTAAAATAAAGTCAACCCAGTCATGTTATAACCATGCTTAAAAATAGATGACTATGTCTTTTCAGACTTACATTTGTTAAAAAAAAATATTATTTTACATTGAAAATATTCAATCAGTTAAGAAAAATGGTTGCCTTTTGTTGCTGGTTTTCTAAATAGGTTTTCATTTTCATTTGAAAGTTGTCATTAGTACAAGTTTTGCTGTATATAAGGTACAAATGTGTGCAGATATAAAGTTAAAAGTTATTATTTAAGTTCAAAATGGACTGAGAACAAATGGTCAAGAATCCCCAACTTTCAGTCATTTGCTTGTCAAAACTGAAATCCCAAAGGGGACAATGTTATTCTTATCAAGTGAAGAAGCTATCTAGCTAGATTAATGACTGTTGATGATTCTACTCAGTGCTTACCTATGCTGGAAATTGTCATAATCATATTGTCTTCAGACTTGAACAATTAACCTGCTAGAATCAAAAAAGTGATAAACATTTGCCACCAGTATAGAGCTTGGTCAGCTTCATCAGACTGACTAACTTCAAGTTATCATCTTGATATCCCAAAAATAGATAATGTACAGTGTCATTGCTTGAAGCTGGACAAGTCCTTTTCAGAAATTTAGCAGTTTAAAGGATTCATGCAACATTTTACAATTGAAAAATAAGAATCAATGTGTTATATTTCGTAGCCAAGTGTAATAAGATGTTGGACAGCACATCGTGTACGGACCACGAAGCCGATGTGTTCTGTAAAGCATGTCATACTAAAATGTTTGGACCAAAGGGGTACGGATTTGCTGGTGGAGCCTCGGGGTTGTCGATGGATACTGGGAAATATGGAGAAATTACGAGAGAGTAAGTTTTCATGTTCTTTTCCCATCATTGTTTAAGCATATACAGAATAGTTATTATCAATATAAGAGAAAATCCAGGAAATAATTTAGTTGTACACATAATGTTACATTTGATTAACCAAAGATTTTTCTTCTTAGTCATTCGTATCAATTGCTAGCAAAAACCAGACATAAATATTTAATCTGTATAATTTGTTAATAAATGACTGGCAAGTGTTAATGATGTCTGGAAGAAAGATGTAAACTTGACTTTTAGTAACAGATTCTATTTCTGCTTCACACTGTTCAGTCAGTACGTACTTATATTACTGATATTTAGCATGGAAAGTGTAAATACACATATAATTTGTATAGTACTCCCATGCTGTGTATTAAATATACACAGACAAATCCTACTTCTCTGCAACTACTGGCTGGAATTCAACAAAAATTTATGGGAATCATCAATATCAAGAGGAGATACACATATTGTCGGCTTGTTCCGGTCAGACATTTTAAGAGTTATGGCTCTTGATTAGTTATGCAGTATGCATATAGAGCAATAATTGTTTCCGCGCTACTTCTCTGTAACTACTGGCTTGAATTCAATTAAACTTTATGGGAATCATTAATACTAAGATGAGATGCGCATAATTTGTTGCCTTGTTCAGACCAGACCCTTCATTACAGAGTTATGGTCCTTGATTAGTTATGTAGTATGCATATAGAGCAATATTTCTTTGCAACTGCTGTATTGATTTCAACAAAACTTTATGGGCCATCGATACAAAAGGCAATTTACATCAATTCTCATTGCCATGTCCAGATATTACTTTTTAACAACGAGTTATGGCTCTGTTATTGCCCTGTATATTTATTATGTAAAAAGAATATTACTGTTTACGCCATGATAAATATATAAATAAAGCCTTATGTCTTCAGTTGTTGTGTTAGTAATAACCAGTACTTGACGGGGGATATAAATTCAACAAATTTGCTTGTGTTTTATTTCAGAGACACATTAACCCTTTCACTGCTATAGGAAGGGACGGCATATGCCGTCCCTATTATTTTCGGCGTATTTGCCATATGGACGGCTTTTGCAGTTTCTATAATAATAATAATTATAATAATAATAATTATAATAATAATAATAATAATAAATATATAGATAGTTATACCATCAACAATATTTATTATATACTAGTAGCAGATTTGGAAACATATATAATTATTATACTACTAATAACAAATAATAATAATCATATTAATTAATAATATATTAATTTCTTAGAAAACCTTCTGGCAAGAAGGTGATCAATAAATAAATAACCCTCTGCCAGCAAAGGGTTAAATAGGTAAATTATTTTCTGTTTGTCCAATAGGTTTTGAAAATTTGTATTTCTGTGTTACTGTTATTTAAAGTTATGTTAAAGTTGTTGAATTAAATGATCTTGTTTAAACGTTTCATCTGTGTTTCTTCAAAAATGGTAAAGGCCTATTTAAGTTTTGATTATTTAGTATCACAAAACTTGATTCTTTCTATTTATTTAGACTTGTTTTGTTTCATTTTTATCAATCCGCCCCCCCACCAAAAAAAAAAGAAAGTCATTTTTTTTATTTACTGGTATTTGATACTTGCTTAGCTGGTGGTAATAAAAATTCTGGTAGTTAAACCTGTTTCTTTTTAATTCACACCTAATTAAGCAATTAAGCGATAGACTTACTCCCTCTCTTCTCTCTCTCTCATAATTAGCAGTTTGATATAGTAGCTTCAAAATCATTAAATCTGTTGAAATCTCTCCAAATCTGCTCTTATAAGTGGCCAAGATTTTCTCCCAACACCTGTTCATCAATTTTAATGATTCAATGTTATTCCTACCTTGTTACATAGCAGATTAAATAAAGAGTGATAAGATATCTTAAAAAAAAATCAAAGCACTTTGATTGTATAAAAAGCAGGTGATTGAGAGAGCTTGAGATCAGCCTGTCAGAAGACATGCCTGCTGGGACCCCGGAGATCAATCAGTGTGATGTATGTTCATGTCTCAACCAAAGTATACTCAGAGGGATTGGAGAGGCTCATTAAACTAAAACAAAAAAATGTTTGAAGCAAACAATCTGTACATAAATGATCATACCTTTGAAATGAAAATTCTGAACTAGATTGTACAAGTAGTGCAGTTAAAGAATAGAATTAAGTAATTAAACTATCTTAGAGTTGTATTTAGCATGTGCAGTTAGGCACCTAGGCATTTTGATACAAATTTATTGGAGATAAGCAGAGATGTTCCCCTCTGATTCAGGAAAAATAACATTTTCAGTGAGCATTTTTCAAGGTCAGATATTATGATCTCTGTAAGGTTGTTTTGCAAAAATTTAAATTTAGCCCATTACTCAAACACTTAACCTAATCAACTCTATATTGGGTGATTACATGACACACAGTTGTAAAACTTAAATTTTTGTCAATTTTTTGCTTGGTAGTAGAATGGTTTGAAATCTATCAAATGATATTGACAGGAAAACTTGTAATGCCCTTTATTATGACACGACTTAGTTGTCAGACATTATCCTGAAATCAATATTTTTAGCAGTAAGCATCTTTTTAATTTAGAATATATTGTAATATATTTTTTTTTAGCTTTTAAAGATATTTAATTATTCTTGGCATACTTGATAATGACAAGGCACATCTGTAGGACAAGGGACATAACTAAGTGATGACTATTGATCATGCACCATCATAATATTCGCAAACTTATTGAAGATTAGCAGTGTTATTCCCCCTGATTTAGTAAAAATTATGTTCAATATTTTGATTTTTGTCACGCAAATATCAGTTTAACTATAAACCAGTGATTATAAAGAATTTTTATGGCTTAACAGTGCAATTTTGGGGTCATCTGTGTTAAATATTAACACTTTGATTCTTTTAATTGATATTGGAGTATGTGAAATGTTCTGTTAATGGTTGTTGATGATAAATTATTATATTTGTGATCTTGACTCAACTGGAACAATGATAATTTTACATGAAAAGTATTATTAGATAGGAAATAAGACAATACCAAATTATCATGTTACAAATTATTTGTATGTAATTTGTTATATGTGATATAATGGTGGTTTATGTACATTGCAGTGATGATATTTTTTTATGTTTCAGAAATGTGTCATCCTTCAGCCAGGCTCAAGCAGCACCCTTGTTAGAGAATGGTACCGGTAAGTTTGGAGGTGGAGAATTGTGTGCAACTTGTGGGAAAACAGTCTACTTTGCAGAGAGAGTGTTCGGGGGAAATAGTGTAAGCAAAAAAAGCCATATTCTTTAAAGAATGAGTAATAAGAGCTTCTTCTAGTGTTTAAAATGCAGTTCACAAAATGGAGCTTTTAATAAATAGTATGAATGTTAAATTTTGTTATATTTCATAGCTGCTGCTTATTGTAATTCTATTTTGTTGAGTTGCCAAGTGATGGTCCACGATGGCTGAGTGAACAGTTTGAAGCGGCATATGGCTCAGTTCGATTGACTGTGGCCAAGCTTTTATTTTAGGTTACTAGTAAGCAATCATGTCTTATGGAAGGTCAGTGGATCTGCCCAGGTGTTTCAGTTTGAAAAGTCATAATAAAATACTGTATTGATTCAACTACATTATCAAACATATAGTTATAGTTTATCATGTGTATTTACATTCTATTATATTTCAGACCTACCACAAACAGTGTTTCAAGTGTGCAGAGTGTAACAAATCACTGGACTCCCATACCGTGACTCAGAGGGATAATGATGTCTTCTGTAAAAGTATGTCTCTTGTTTATAACATCACTTCCTCTTACAAAAATATTGGTGACTGATAATATGAAAAATTTAAGATGTTAAACATGTTAACATTTTTATTAGCCAAACAATCTGGGCACTACCCCTGGGAAGATGTTTTACATCGTTAATCATCTGTGGCCTAGTTGTTAAGGTTTTTGACTTCATTGTTGCATGCCCTTCACCAATGTTTGTTCAAATCTGGCGAGGAACATTCATACTGTCATATAAGGAAGCTACCCAACTACATGTATATTATTGGAGGTTTGTGGTTCTACTCAAGTGCCTGCTTATGCCTGAAATAATGCATGACAAATTATACATTCACCAGTAAAGCTGTAAATTGGCTATTTGACGATTATTGTGGCAGCGTGACTTAAAAACCCAAAGTAAAACTATTATATTTGAAATTTTGATGAGATAGATGAAAATACAAATGAAAATAAAAACAAAAAATATAATGCATTGTATTTGAAAACACTAACTCATAGTTTGAAATTTCTGTAGCTTAGTGGTGAAGGCCTCTGTATTCCAGCCATTTGGTCCTTATTGCTGTAGAATAAATCGTTGGTGGAATGTTGAATTCTTTAAATTTGAGAAAACTACAAGTTTTATCTTGCAAAATGTTTGTGGTTCTACACAAATTCCAGCTTCTGTGCCTAAAATACTACACAGAGAGACCGTTTGAATCTTTCCCCAACAGTAAAACAGCTGGAAAGTCATCAAATATGTTAATATGGCTATTAAAGAACTTAACAAATCTTACAGATATGTTTTGTATCTAAGTAAATCTTCTATATTACAGATTGTTACAGTAAACATTTTGGACCAAAAGGGTTTGGGTTTGGATCTGCCTTACAACATACATAGACCTTGTGCACATGAACTAGTGCTGAAACATTGTTATAGAAACATTGTTACTGGAACATTGTTACTGTATTTTTGTTGTTGTTGTTTTGTTAATAGAATTCATTATTCAAAACAGATGGGTTTTTTTTCTCTGAGGAACGGAGACTTGAACAGTCGTCAGCGACTTCTAGAGGAAAAACTTGAAGCTTGTGTTTTATTGACAGTGTCACATATAAAAAATAATGGTTTTACGTTATTTTGAAAAGAACTGGTATGAATAGTAATTTGAAGGACCAATCATTTTATGACAATTTTAGATTAATTATAATTTAAAAAAACCACGCCCTTTGTGGTTTTAATGCACTGTGTTTTTTCTGATAATTGAAACAGTAAGAAACATAAAATGTGGATTTATCCATAATCAGATCCAGAGGGTATCAGAAATAATGGGGTCTACACTGTCTCTTTTTCATCTTGGTAAACATTTGCTCTTTGTCATAATTGGCAACATATTGGATTTATGATGTCTCTGGTAAATTAACATTGACAATATTGTGAATAACATAACATTACAAACAATCTGACAATCAAAAAATCATACTGAGATGAAAAGGGCTACTGCCTTGCCCTAGTCTGAGTAGAAAAAAAACAACCTGGATCTGTTTGTGATATAAGAAAAGTTACATGAAGATACTGGTATTGTTTTATGAAATGTTTTATGTTGAAAGAACATACATTTGCATTTTTTAATTTGATGTTTATATATTTGTAAGTGTGCATGACATGATCTTTTGACTTCTGTTAGGCAATGTGTTTAATCAAAAATGGCAAGACAAGTAACGAGATGCTTGTACCGATATAGAAGATACAGAAATTGACTGTTTCTGCATAGATGATGAGATTTGTGTTTATTTATTAGGCAACACTAAGTACACTCAACACCATTGTTTGGATATTTTGCTAGGGCTTTTTAGCTCACCTGTCACTTTGTGACAGGGTGAGCTTTTGTGATCGCTTTTCGTCCGGCGTCCGTCCGTCGTCCGTCCGTCCGTAAACTTTTGCTTTAAATGACATCTCCTCATAAACCACTGAGCCAATTTCAACCAAACTTCACAAGAATGTTCCTTTGGTGGTCACCTTTAAAAATTGTTCAAAGAATTTAATTCCATGCAGAACTCTGGTTGCCATGGCAACCAAAAGAAAAAACTTTAAATATCTTCTTTTAAAAAACCATAAGAGCTAGAGCTTAGATATTTGGCATGAAACATCTTCTAGTGAGTGTCTACCAAGATTGTTCAAATAAAAGCCCTGGGGTCAAAATTGGCCCCGCCCGGGGGGGTCATTGATTTTCCCTATATGCATATAGTAAAAACTTAAAAAATCTTCTTTTAAAGAACCCAAAGAGCTAGAGCTAAGATATTTAGCATGAAACATGTTCTAATGGATGTCTACCAAGTTTGTTCAAATAAAAGCCCTGGGGTCAAAATTGGCCCCGCCCCAGGGGGTCATTGATTTTCCCTATATGCATATAGTAAAAACTTAAAAAATCTTCTTTTAAAGAACTCAAAGAGCTAGAGCTAAGATATTTAGCATGAAACATGTTCTAATGGGTGTCTACCAAGTATGTTCAAATAAAAGCCCTGGGGTCAAAACTGGCCCCGCCGGGGGGGGGGGGGGGTCATTGATTTTCCTTATATGTGTATAGCAAAAACTTAAAAATCTTCTTTGGAAAAACCCAAATAGCTAGAGTTTAGATATTAAGCATGAAACATCTTTAAGTAAATATCTACAAAGTTAGTTAAAATAAACACGCGGGGGTCAAAACTGGCCCTGCCCCAGGGGTGTCATTGTTTTTAACTATATGTGTATAGTAAAAACTTTAAAAAAATCTTCTTTTAAAAAAGCCAATGAGCTAGAACTTAGATGTTTAGCATGAAACATCTTCTTATGGGTGTCTACCAAGTCTGTTCAAATAAACAAATAAAAGCCCTTGGGTAAAAATTGGCCCGGGGGTGGGGGGGGGCTATATACAGGTGAGCGACCTCAGGGCCATCATGGCCCTCTTGTTTTTTATAATATTTTTATTTTTACACATCATATACATGTATAAATTAAGTGTTATATTTTAGTTAAGGGAGGTTGTGGTGTAAAGAATGTGAGGGTTAATTTTTAGCTCACCTGTCACAAAGTGACAGGGTGAGCTTTTGTGATCGCTTTTCTTCCGGCGTCCGTCCGTCCTTCCGTAAACTTTTACTTTAAATGACATCTTCTCATAAACCACTAAGCCAATTTCATCCAAACTTCACAGGAATGTTCCTTTGGTGGTCACCTTTAAAAATTGTTCAAAGAATTTAATTCCATGCAGAACTCTGGTTGCCATGGTAACCGAAAGAAAAAACTTTAAATATCTTCTTTTAAAAAACCCAAAGTCTAGAGCTTAAATATTTGGCATGAAACATCTTCTAGTGAGTGTCTACCAAGTTTGTTCAAATAAAAGCCCTGGGGTTAATATTGGCCCCACCCGAGGGGGGTCATTGATTTTCCCTATATGCATATAGTAAAAACTTAAAAAATCTTCTTTTAAAGAACTCAAAGAGCTAGAGCTAAGATATTTAGCATGAAACATGTTCTAATGGGTGTCTACCAAGTTTGTTCAAATAAAAGCCCTGGGGTCAAAATTGGCCCCGCCCCAGGTGTCATTGATTTTCCTTATATGTGTATATCAAAAACTTAAAAAACCTTCTTTGAAAAAACCCAAATAGCTAGGGTTTAGACATTAAGCATGAAACATCTTCTACTAAGTGTCCACAAATTTTGTTCAAATAAAAGCCCTGGGGTCAAAACTGGCCCCGCCCCAGGGGTGTCATTGTTTTTAACTATATGTGTATAGTAAAAACTTAAAAAAACTTTCTTTTAAAAAACCCAATGAGCTAGAGCTTAGATGTTTAGCAAGAAACATCTTCTTATGGGTGTCTACCAAGTTTGTTCAAATAAAACCCTTGGGTTAAAATTGGCCCTGCCGGGGGGGGGGAAGAAGGTAGTCATTGTTTTTCATTTTATGTGTGTATGAAAACTTATGAAAGTCATGAAACATCTTCTAATGGGTGTTCCAAGTTTGTTCAAATAAAAGCCCTGGGGTTTAAACTGGCCCCGAACCGGGGGCCTATATACAGGTGAGCGACCTCAGGGCCATCATGGCCCTCTTGTTTTTGTTTTTGTTGTGGTGTTATTAAAGAGCTATAGACTAAATTTCACTTTTTAACACACTTTTCTTTCCATTATTATATATTGTTAAGATTTCATTTATAACCATTTTTGTGTCACCTCTATGGAGTAGTGGCGACATATAGGGATCACTTCTCCGTCGTCTGTCCGTCCGCCACAAAACTTGTCCGGACTACTCCTCATAAACTACTGGTGCAATTTCATCCAAACTTTACAGGAATGATCAGTACCAAGTCTAGTTGTGCATATTGTCAGCATTTTCCGGTTCAATGATTTTTGTAAGAGAAATGGCCCTTTAATTATTTTATTTTTAAAGTTTGTCCAGACTACTTCTCTTATATCACTAATGCAATTTCAATGAAACTTTACAGGATTGATCTGTAGCTCAAGTCCTTGCGCATATTGTATGGGTTTTCAGGTTGAATGATTTTTGGCCGAGTTATGGCCCTTTGATAAAAAGGTGTTTTTTTCTGTGTGTTGCCAGATACACAAAAGCTTGTCCGGACTACTCCTCATAAACTACTGGTGCAATTTTATCCAAACTTTACATGATTGATCAGTACCAAGTCTAGTTGTGCATATTGTCAGCATTTTCCGGTTCAATGATTTTTGTGAGAGTGATGGCCCTTGAATGATCAGTACCAAGACTAGTTGTGCACTGTCTGTCACAAAACTTGTCCACACTACTCATAAACTACTGGGGCAATTTCATCCTAACTTTACAGGAATTTATGTCGCCACTACTCCGATCACTTCTCCGTCTGTCACAAAACTTGTCCCAACATGAAATTGGCCATCATGAGGTGACACATGTGATCACTGATCGCTCTTGTTCTTTTCTGAAATTGTTTTGTATGTTTGAAATGCTTTAACAAATTTGCTAGTCTGCACTCTTGATATGGCTGAATGAGATTTGAAGGTGTTTGTTTTTTATAATTTACATTATGAAGCAAGCTTCGGTAATTTGTTAATAATTATTCCTCTTCTGATAACATAACAATGTGGAGTCACTGTGGTGAAATAGTTATGGTCCCTGACTTTGAATCACTTGCCCCTCACCACTGTGAATTTAAACCTTGCCAGTGACTTTGGATTCTTTCATGTGAGGATCTTTATTTATTGACTAATATCTTATATATTTGGTATGAAGGTCACAGGCTTAAACCTCTACCATAAGGTTTGGTTTGATGTTGCTAGTGCAAAGGTCACAGAGCTTAAATATATATATATGAGGTTGAACAGTTTATTTTCAGCTGCATTAAATCAAGTTGGGGAGCATGCATCAATGTTAGTGATATTCCTTTGACGTAGATTCTTATGCTATATACTAATGTGAACATTTGAAAAAGGGAAATGGTGGCTTAGTGGTGAAGTTGTCTGCCTCTTAACCCAGGGATCTTGGGTTAAAGCCCAATGTGGTCTAAACCATGTTTATTTATATAACCCCAGTACAGTCAGGGGATTTAAAGTGTTGTTCAAATAGGCTTCAAGCTTTAATAAAGCACAAGCTAAAATGTCTTAACTAACATTAGAATAGCAGATGTCAGTGTATTTGGTCATTCCGTAGCTGAAATATATTCTGACATAATGTAAACTTACATAAAATGCTTTATATATATTGTCTTAGCAAATAGTTCTCCGCAACAAGATATAATAACACTCCTTTTTATCTTGCTTTGAAAAATATACATGTACTGACTTTATTTAAGAAAATATTAAAAGAAATACCTGGGAAGACTTGTCAGACTTTTAAATAAATTTTATACTGTATTTAACCACTTTTACTACAGCACTAAAATATTAATGCATTTTTGATATTGGAGAAGTTTTAGTTGATTAAACCAGGTTATATATACATATTTACAGACATTAACTACATTCATTCAGGTTATTTTACTGCCAATATCGTCATATATGATAATCATTTTCAAACATTAGCGTACAGTGTGAAATCTCTTTCAGAATTTTATGTACCATCTGTGTTCAACTTTAGAAAAATCTCGTAAATTTGTGTAAAGGATTGTTGCATCCTGTTTTTTCTTTTAAAAATTTTAACAGCATTTATGTGATAAACTTGTCATGTTTTGAATTTGGAACTATACATATGCCTTTCCTCCAATTTCAGTATAAACCCATAACATGTTGGAACTCAAAGTACCTAGCGTTTGATCAGGCTTTATGCTGTTGGTAGCTTAAACTGACTTCACTGAGGTTTTTTTTACATGATGATCAGAAATAATTTTTCGAAATAAATGTTCCATTGAATTTGCATAGGTGTAGATCATTAATTTGTGTGCAGAATTTCTATTTTTAGCTCACCTGTCACAAAGTGACAGGGTGAGCTTTTGTGATCGCTTTTCGTCCGGCGTCCGTCCGTCCGTCCGTCCGTCGTCCGTCCGTAAACTTT